CATCCCTCCCCTCTTTTACTTATAATTTTTACTTCGCCGTGCAGCCCAGAACAACTCATCTGCAAACAGTCCATTGCATCTTACCCTACTCCCCTCCCCCGCCCAAAGGTATAGGTAGCCAACATGAAGCTGTACTATATCTCTGTCATACTCACCACCTGCCTGAGCACTGTTTTTGCTCAAGGAATGGACGGCCTACTAGACTGCGCGGTATATATACCCATGTTTGAGGTCATTGATTCCCGCTCCTTAATGAACTTCTTTTGCTGAGATGGACCCAAAATTGTCTGCTGACAGAACCACAACAGAAAGATTGTGCTACTGGCTCCATTCCCAAGCAGTGCCAGACTATCGATGTTGCTTGTATCTGCGGTGACAATAGCTTTATCAACGGTATATCTTGTTGTGTCGCCAACAAGTGCTCAAAGGATCAACAAGATGGTAAGTCCTGACTTTTTGTCTTTCACTCACACCGCAAGTTCAATGCAGAATCGTACGCACGAGGACATATTGTCTTGCTAACATGGTCTCGCGTAGCCGTTCTCAAATTCGCAAACCAACTCTGCAGTGGCGCCGGTGTAAATGACCTCCCCAAGAGTGCTAGCTGCGCCGAGGGAAGTTCGAGTGCTACTGAGACATCTTCCGATTCTTCGGCCTCTAGAAAATCAACTACTGCGAAGAGCACAGCCACGGATGAATCGGCTGCGACTACTTCGGGTTCTCCCGATAGCTCTGCATCACCAACTGCTTCCAAATCTGACAGCAACACCAAGACCTCATCTACTTCAACATCGTCACCTACTACCAGTAATGGCGGAGCTGGCCTTGTACAAAGCAAAGATACTAGTCTCCTTGCTGCTCTTGGTGCGGCAGTCTTCGCATTCCTTGCGTAGAGAAGTGAGACGCGGACCGCCTCTTTCCGGGCACACAGAGTGGGAGAGAAGCCTGACTACGGAGTACCTAATTACGAGTCGGGGAAGTCAAGCGGAGAACAAGTTTATGTCTACATCCAAGACACCGGAGGAGCAATTGTCTAATATGTATTTAAGATGCTCTACTAAGTCCACATTCTAGTGATATTCAGCGTCCACCTGTGAGAACGCATTGATAAGTCGAAGGAAATGTGCGTAGTTACAATAACTCTTGTTCTCTTTGTAGTAGCAAGTTCAATTTAGGTACTCCCACACTTTCGCACAACCGAAGGAGCCTACGACACTTGTTGGTCTTGTTCTGCGAATCGAACCGCGATCTCATGTCGTTCTTCACGAAGAGTAAGGTAAATCTACAACATTTAATCAGATCTGAAGATCAAAGTAAATTGTAGATGAGGCCATAGAACTTACCCAAAGCCAAAACATCATTTCCATAAAGCCATACGTGAATATTACTCTGTTTTTCAACTGGTCCAAGCCAGAGGCGGGCTCTTGGCCATACCCATCAACTGTATGGCGACCATCCACGCCCCAATCCGATGGCTTACTCTGGTATATAAAGAAAGAAACGGCAAAGAAAAGGCAGAAGCGTGAAGCAGAGAGCAGGGTCCAAATTTCCGTGTAAAGTGAGGCGAGACGTGCTAAGAATGGATTCGTTCGCATAGCTCCTGCGATCGACGTGGGGGCTGCAGACCGAGCGATTTCTGCCATTGCAATAATTTCATTAATTCGGGGGACCTTTGTGACGAGGATAAGATCGACAAGGGCATCCGCGACGAGGAGGATGCCGCATAGCGCAAAAGGGGATTGAGGACGGGAAAGGGATGGTGCAGCATCCTGAAGTAAGACGTGTTAACCTCCAACAAGAAGAACATTTTCAGCGATAGATCATATGGTTTATTCTTACTATTTGTAAGGTCTCTCCTAGCATGAAAACCACATCGGAGTCCGTAATGACTTCTGGTGACCTGGTGAGGTAGACGGCGAGGATGAACAGGCACAAGGCATGTGCCTGAATCAGCGTTTTAGATGATAATAGACCCATCTTGTTGTTTGTGGGCACAAGCTGAAGGATACGTAGAATAAAACAGAACGCCGTAAATGAAAATAGTGATGTTGGTGTCTGAATGTCACCTCCGCATGTTCAGTAATATTCGGGGTGAGGTTGAGTCGAGACCCATAGAGCTGGGAGTTTATTTTTATTCTTTTCGGTTTTCTCTCCCGATGAATCAAGCAAACCATGTGGGGTTAAGTGCGCGGCAGCTGTTAACTCCGAGAGTGTCCGCGCGCCAAATGAGAAATCGAGATTAAAAGGTGATGGCACGATAAGCTTGACAAAGAATCTCTGACGCATATCACGGACAACTTTCATACTATCTGTGCAAATTTTATGGCCAGTACCCTGGATCATAATCCAGACCTTCACCGCCGTAACCATGACCGAAGCCGTTTTTCATAAGGAACGTCATCTCAAGTATTTCCTACGATGCCTCAAGACGTTTTTACCGGGCTTATATACCTCCAATGACTCGAACCGCATCCTCCTCGCTTACTTCACCGTTGCAGGCCTGGATCTCCTAGGCGAATTATATAACAAGACAACTCCCGAAGAGCGGCAAGGGTATGTTGAGTGGATCTACCACTGCCAGGTGCCTTCGGGAGGCTTCCGGGGATTCACAGGGACCGACTTTGGGTCAGAACGGCGAACAGCGGCAAACGAAGCTTGGGATCCGGCCAATATTCCCTCAACATTCTTTGCATTGGTGATACTGTTGACCTTGGGTGATGATCTGTCACGGGTAAAGCGAACTGAGTGTTTACAATGGCTCTCCAGAATGCAGCGCGAAAACGGGAGTTTTGGCGAAGTCCTCGGCACAGAAGGGAATATTGAAGGCGGCGGCGATTTACGATTTTGCTGTTTCGGTGCCGGTACGCGATATATACTGAGAGGCAAATGTGGGGATAACCTCGAGGGTATCATGGATATAGACGTAGATAAATTGGTTGCGTTTATCGAGGCCTGTCAAGTAAGAAATGAAATGCCCCTCCTACACTTTCTACTATTCCCGTGGATTATGATTTGGCTAAGGATTCTTCTAGGCATACGACGGCGGCATAGGGGAAGGGCCCTTCTGCGAATCTCACTGTATGTCCTGTTTTCCATATCCCGCTACGCAACGACTATCCTAGATGCATATTCCGTCTTTCTAACTTTCGAATCGCAGCTGGTCACACTTATTGCGCTATTGGTGCCCTAACATTCCTAGACCGCCTTTCGAAGAACCATAAGCCAATCGCGTTACTTTCGCCCAAAGCTGGGCCTTTTGAGTCTTTGGTCAGATGGCTTGTTGCACGACAAACGTCTGAGCTTGGCGACGATGAGGAAGAATCCGACGAAGAAGATGGCCACGGCATAGATGAGGTTAAACCTTTATCAGTGACAGTTGAGGAGCCCAGTTTAGACACAAAAGTCGATCGGCTCCCTGTTGTACCGCCGGAAACAGAGGATTCACTGCCATGGGCAGGATTTAACGGACGCTGTAACAAATATGCCGATACTTGTTATTCGTTTTGGAATACTGCATCTTTGAATGTAAGAGGCTTTACCTCAAAACTTAAAATGCGTATCAAGCTGATAGTAAAGGAACAGATGATGAATAGGCTAGCTTTGGTGGATGCGACTCGGAATCGGCGATACCTCTTAGAGAAAACGCAACATATCGTTGGTGGATTCGGAAAGGGCGTGGGAGAACCACCAGGTAAGTCTAGCGTTTACTCTTGGACCTTTCTCTTTTTCTCCTTTTACTCTTTTTGTAATATAGCTAATTAGCACGCACAGATCTGCTACACTCTTACTTCGGGCTGGTATCGCTCGCATTTCAAGGGGAAACGGGCCTTGAAAGTGTCGATCCAGCACTTTGTGCAAGTCATCGCGCAGTTCGACATTTGCATTCCCTACCCTGGTGGCAGGAGACCAAAACGTGATGATGGTTAGCAATCAAATCGCAGCGTAAACAAACAATTTCCATACCATATACCCCAACCGTCCCACTATTATAATTATGATATTCAGTAGATTTTCCGGATGCATGACGATAAAATAATGTTATGCAATCGTCATACGATCAATCTCAGGTACGGAGTACATCTGGTTCATTGCAAGGGAGAAAAGTAGACTGGGTGGACTCCGTTAGTTTGAATGAAACGCTCCTCGCTAAGCTCAACATGGGCATGGGAAAGGCGCTAGAGAGGACTAGTGCGGTATGTCATAATTAATTTCCTTTCTAAATTTATGTGATTCAGGGGTTAACGTCGGATGAGATAAGCCCGCCCACTTTGAGAGAGAATGGATGTGATTCTTCGGTTAAAAGAAAATCAGCGAAGGAAGAGGAGCAGTCCTGCATTGAGATCTCCTCGTACTGATTCTTGTTTGTTTGTTTGTTTGGATTGGAGCGAGGCCGGAAAGGGCATGTGACATGATCCCTCGCATGAGAAACAAAAGTTCGGTCGGAAAAGAAGCATAATAAGAGTAATCAAAATCAAAGTCAAAAAGACAAGAAAAGCAAAGAAAATAAATTAGCACTACGGGCATTGATCCCTACACTATGACGAATTAAAAGCAGTTTTATACTTTCCAATGACAAGAAACGGCCCACGTTTTTACCCAGCTAATGGAGAAAATCATAATACAAGTCCAAGGAACGAAGGGAAAAGTTTCCCATCAGCTTTGAACGAGCTAATTAACGGCTCAACCGCTTATGCAATGTCCTGTTGGCTGTCGTCAGAGCCTTTCCTTACTTCATCCCATACTAATTGTCCTCTCCTGTCACGCACCACACCACTCATACACACACACACACATATTTGCTTGTTTGATTGACAATTAAGCCCATTGGAAGTTTGCTTGGCTGCATTTCGCCAGTACTTGCTCGCTCTCTTTTTCTCAGACCCCCTCTCTTACTTCGATCCGTTCGTTTCTTATCCTTTGTAGTCTGTTATTTCCGTGGTATGCTTGCTTTTTTCCCCCCTTCATTTTTTCCCCTCTGCTTTTTTCGCTAGTACCCCAAAGCATTTTCTATGCATGATTTGTTCTGCTGGATACAATTTTATAATAAACTGACATTGTATCATATTGTCCTAGCTGGTCGCCTCCCCGGCTGTGGCTCAACCCCTTCTCCTTCCGTTTTGATATTGCGGTCCACTCCTCCGCGGCTTCCACCAGCTCCGCCATCCTGCACTCTCTCTTTTGACCAAGACTCGGAGATAAGCTCAATTATCTCTCGATATTTTGCTCCGTGAAATCCTCCAACTCTCGCTTTATATTACTCGGTCTACCCTCGAGCTGTGTCAGGTGGTTTGCTCCTTGATTCACACCCTCCGCATCACGCTGTAGCCTACGTCCCGATCCCTCTCTACTCAGACAAGCGGTCTTGATGTGCTCGATCCTTTGAATGGCAGTCGCACACGAATTACGATTGTCTGAAGATACTACACAGAAGTTCAAGAAGCGCGTTTCTCATCTCCGCGGTGCATTCTAGAACAGGCGGGGATCATCTTAACACATGCCGCCTCCCAGGACGAGAGCGGAGGTTCATGCCCAAAAACAAAAGGAGAAGGTTCGTTTTTTTCAGTTTATTGAGTCAATAGCATCATTATAGCTATGCGCCCATACGGATCATGTCGCTAGGCTTTCTCTGCAGATCCAGTATATCCTTCATCGTCCTTGTGGCCAAATATTGTTTACTACCGGTCCCATCAATCTCATATTTTGATTGAAGCCCAGCTAACTAGAAACTACACTACAGCTCGCCCAGTCCTACCATGAATTACTCGAGTAAGCACCTCCTTTCTCTACTCCGGCCAGACCTATAGTTACTCACGACCTCATCTTCGTCAGGGAATTCTCCTCAAAGGATCTTCGGAGTGTAGGGAACTATACACTCGGGAGGCTAATCGGGAAAGGTTCCTTCGGCAAGGTTTACCTTGCGTCTCATAAGCTCACTAATGGCTCCAAGGTATAACTGCACAATACACCTTGCACTTCAATGATAGTACTGACCAATGTAATTGCGAATAGGTTGTGCTCAAGTCCTCAAGTAGAGAAGATACGAATCTGCCGCGTGAGATTCATCATCATCGCCAGTTTTTACATCCTCATATTGCCCGCCTCTATGAAGTTATCGTAACGGAAAAGCTGGTTTGGCTGGTGTTGGAATATTGTCCAGGTATGGGGCGTGTATCAGCGTATCCCCCACTCCACTGCTGACAGATGCGGCTAGGTGATGAACTCTATAACTATCTTCTTCGTCATGGCCCACTACCCGTCGACAAAGTCAAAAGGATTTTCACGCAACTTGTCGGTGCGGTGGCCTATGTTCACAGCAAATCTTGCGTCCACCGGGACCTGAAATTGGAGAATATTTTACTAGATAAACACGAGAACGTCAAACTATGCGATTTTGGGTTCACCCGGGAGTATGAGGGCAAAGCAAGCTACCTACAAACATTCTGTGGTACGATATGTTATAGTGCCCCGGAGATGTTGAAGGGTGAGAAGTATGCAGGCGAAAAGGTGGACGTGTGGAGCTTGGGCATCATTTTATATGCTCTCGTCGCTGGGGAGCTCCCCTTCGACGAGGACGACGACCAAGTTACCAAGACTCGGATCCTCACGGAGGATCCTGTGTACAATGACAGATTTCCGGATGATGCAAAAGCTCTTATAAACTTGCTCTTATCAAAGCGCCCTCTGATCCGGCCGAGCCTAAACGAAATTTTGGCGCACCCGTTCCTTGCCGAACATGCTCCAGACCAATTGGCAATATTGAAAATCCCACGGCCTGCTCCTTTTACTACGCCTCTAGAGAAGACAACTTTGCAGCGGATGAAAAGTGCCGGCGTCAATATTGATGAGGTGGTCCACAGTGTCCTTGCTCAACGATGCGACCCACTCGCCGGTTGGTGGGCATTGCTGACTGAAAAAGAACAACGGAAGGAGCAAAAACGAGAGCGTAAGCGAAGGGAGCGAGAAGTTGAAGCGAAGAA